GTATCTAATATAGTAGTCAAACTTATTATAGTTATAATACTTAATAGTTAAGAGATCCTTAGTTTTTATAAGATATTACTTATACTTATAAGGGGATATATACTTAATAAGAGTAATTAATATAGGCTCTTTAAGCTTCTTTTTAGAAATATACTTCTTAGGAATATATAAGGGTATAGTACTAGAAGTAAACTTAGCTAGGATAGCTTCTGCCTTCTTATATTCCTTAGTCTTCTTATATATAGCCTTAATTTACTAATTATTAGTAGTATAGTACTAAGTAAAGCAAGTAGTATTAATAGAAAAATTATTATAGTATATATATACTAACTTCTGGAGTTTTAGTAAGAGCTTCTTATTTAGTTTATACTTAATATTTTAAAGACTAATACTATCTTCTATAGATAGTTATAAGAAGAAAGTATAGAACCCCTGAAATACTTAACTAGAGTATATTTAAAGCTTATTAAAGTCGTAATAAGCATTCTATATCTTATTAGGGTTAGAGTATAGCTTCTTTAGGTAGGAGTAAAGCTCTGAGAGCTAATAGTACTAATTCGGACTATCTTTATCTATATAAGAATTAGTTAGGGCAAGAGTATTACCGGTAAGTTTACTAGAAATATAGATAATCTTGAGATTTTCTAAGAAATATAAATTAGTATTTCCTTATAGCTTGTTCTTGACCTGAACTAGCTAGTTATTAAAGATAGTATAATCTCTAGTAAAGAGAGTTAGATCTGGGAGCTTAGTAACTCTAGTATCTCTAAAGAAAGTATGAGATATAGGGAATCCTAGATAGGAATAAGCGAGAGATAGTTCGGAATTCTTTTAAAAGAAGTTCGAAATAGCCGGAGTAGCCGGAGCAGGTAAAGCAGAAGTAGTTAGAGCTATTATAAGCTAATCTACTATAGCTATATAGTACTTAATATTATTCTTAAGCTTGGTATTATAGAGCTTAGTATATTTTCGAGAATAGCTTTATTATAGCTATAGGTATTCTTATATGAAATAGTTCTTTAGATATTCTCCTAATAGCTCTTTATAATAATATTAATATTAGAGAGTAAGATATCGGATTTCTTAGCCTATTTATATAACTCTCTGGTAGTAATATGGTTTTTGGTCTCTAGAAGCTTTATAATAAAAGCAGAGAGTTCTATTTTTATAGACTTGTTTATAAATTCTCTAGGAATACTAATAGGATGCTCGGTTCGGGAAGGGCCGCTAACGGAATGACCTGAACTAGTAGGAGCTTTACTAGAAGCCTTGGCGGAAGTTAATATAGTTCCTGGTTATATGGTATTTTAGGAAATCGACCTATTATACTTTTCCTCTACTATATCCTCTCTAGTAGTCTCGTTACCGGCATATATATAGGGCCTATAAAATTATAGGATAGGGCTTGAGAGTAGTAGTTAGGTTACTAGCCTATAAGTACCTATTACTCTAGGACTTAGTTAAAGAGTAGCCTTTATTCGAGGTTCTTTGATTTTCGGGTTTTCGGGGGGATTTCTAATATATTACTAGTATATATTTATAAAGGTATAAATACCTGATTTCTCTAAGGGTTCTAAAGCTTTTCGCTTTTATTATTCTGGAGTCTATTACTCGTATTTCTGAGATTCCGTTATCTTAGCGGTGCCTATATTACTAATAGTTCTAAATTAATTTATTTGAAATCCTTTATAGAATTAAAGGAAGTGAGCTTTAAATACTATTACGGGTACGGTATTTAGGGCTTGGAAAGCAAGGTAGAAGGTCCCTTATAAAGACGATTTAAAGCTAAGGAAAGGAAAACTAGAATATAGGAGGCTGCGAGAGAGTATATATATCTCATAGTATGCTAGTCCCGAAGGGGCTAGCCTTCTAAATATCTCCAGTGCATTCCAAGCATATTTCCCTAGCGAGGCGGCCGCGTCACGTGCGCCTAGGAGGCATCTGGCATCTGGCAAAGCATCTCAGATACCGGGTATCTGGAAATCGTAATACTATCTAATTAAGACGGCGGTTAACTTTAATACCGAGAACTTTCTTAAGCTCTGAAATCTCTATATTCTAATATAGTTAATTAGTAGTAATTCGCTCTGCCTCCAGGCCAGGAATAGGCTCTGGAGTCGCGAGGCCATTAGATTAAATAGTTCCTTTATTCTTGCCTATTTAAGCGGTTATAGTAGTATTAGTTTTATTAGGTGCGATATCTGCTATAATTATATTTTGAGACTAGTTTCTTAGTAATAAGGTTAAGATAATAATACTTAGAAGTTAATCTTACTTTACTAGTTCTTTTATCTAAGAAGATTTATATAAAAAAATAAGAGTCTTATATCTCTATCTCGACTTTCCGACTTTATATTTGAGTACTCTTTAATTACTCAAATTTATAGATATAAATCCGTATATATTAGAGAGAATAGCTATTTCTGGAAAGTCTACTTTTAGAAAAAAACTACTAGATATAGGGTACTAACCTTATATACTAGTATACTTATAATTCTTAAAGACTATAGCCATGAAACTTAATAGCTATTAGCTTAGGTTATAAGGAACTAGTTAGCTATAGCTCAAAAATAACTATAATACTATTTAAAATATTTAAAAGCTAATAAGTATTAGCTACTTAAAAGCTATTAGCTTTTTTAGTAACTCTAATTAAAGTTTAATACTTAAGCCTGATTTTAGCTATACCTAGTTATTAAGTAATAAATAGTAAAGTAAGACTATAATACTCTTGCTTAATTATAATAGTATAAAAGAACTTTATAATACTTCTTATAAAGTTAAAGGAAATATTACTATTTTGTATTAATTATAAGTCTTTGAGTATAAGAGACTAGTAAAGAAAGATTATAGGTAATAGAATTTATAGTTCTTTTAATATTCTCTTTACTAGGATCAAGTATAATAATAAGTTATTAAAGGATTATATAATATTAATAGGGCTATTAACTATATATATTGGGGCAAAAGGATTTCTAATACTAGTTATTTCTATTAAATAAATAATATGTAATATTTAAGTAATAAAGTTCTAGTCTTAATAATATTCCCGTATTCGTCTTTATTATTCCTATTACTTTTCTTAATTAGGCTCTATGGCTCTAATTAGACTTCCGATCCCCGATATACAGATTTTCGAGCCCTATAGGTCTTGAGTAATTACTATATACAAGCTATAATACTAATTAGATTATCTTATATATTTCTTATATAGTTATTAATCTCCGAAGTAGTAAGTAGATAACCATAGTAGCTATTATATATAGGTTCGTCCTATTTATATTTGGCGAAAGCCACTAGTTTTAACGTTTTTCCTAGACTATAGTAATTATATATAAAGACAGCGGGCTTACCAAGTTAATAAAGGCACAAATAGCCACGTTAGGGAAATATCTTTACTACTTGAAATTATGGCAGTATTTCCTTTTAAGTATTACAATCTATAATTTAGACTATTAATCATATTTTAAAGCTGCGAGAGCGAGAATAGAAGTATTATTCGAGGGCTACTGACTATAGAATAATTAATCGCACTAGTTATACTCAAAGATATGAGCTAGTGAGTTAAGATACTACTCGAGGGCTTACTACCGAATAACTAGTTACACTCGTATACTAGAGCGTGAGCTACTAAATTAAGATATTGCTAAAGAATGTCGACCCGCCGAAGGTTCGATTACAAGGCTGGTAGAGGTTTGGCTCGATACTACTCCGTTCGCAGGTTCTATAATGCTAGGCGGAATCTTGTGGAAATAGATTAGCTATAATCGAGATAGCACTCTTGTTTGATGACTGACCTAACTATTGAGATTCATTAGACTTGGTCCTGGGAATACCGTATTAGAGAGATCCCCTCCCTTTATCCATTCTGCACCTATGAATAATCTGTTGAGCATTAATCGGAAGGACATCATTCTCAATTCAAAGGCGCTGAAGCCATGCAAAGACAATTCGAGGTACTCATCAAGTAGTGATAGACAGCAAGCCCCTCCTTGCCGCAATGGCTGGCTGTACGCGGTCGGCGGCTCTGTTAGCGCCTGGATCAGCCAGCCCCTTGCCGCCAACCACTCGCTGCTAACCACTCCCTCTCTAAATAACCTGCCACCGCACCACCACTAATTACCTTTTATAAGCCGGAATTCTCGATACTTATAGTATTGCGATACCTATACCTCCTCATTATAGATGAGCGCTACGAGTTCAACTTTTATCCTGTTTTCAAGATGCTTTGTCAGGAGTGTAAAAATATATTCCGTAGCGATTTCCACAGCCTTCACAATTATTCAGTATATCAGGCATCTTTGGACAACCTAGGAGACATTTTCAGGGGTGCCACATTTCCTCCTAAACACAATTATCGCATACATCAGCCAGATATCTCGAGACTTTATTAATCAGCTCTTAAGGAATATTGGATCTATACGCAAATCTTCGAAGATGTTTGCAAGAAATTCATAGAAGAAGATCTATCCCCACAGAATTCGACCCCCGCAGAGATTACTAAGCTAATCCTCGAAGCTACGACTGGGGTAGAAAGAACAGAAGCCTTCGGCGGAAACTTTACTATATACGAGTTGAGAGATAGTAACAGAGTGGATAGAAGTAATATGACCCTCCACATATCTGTGAATTACTTACTTCTACTACGATTGGACTCTTATATATATAATCTGGCCGAATAGAGAGGTATATTAATTAACGCAGCTTAATAAATGGATCGAGTACTTTCTAATATTTATACTCTAGAATCAGTCAAAGGTTAAAGATATTCGCCCGAATATTCTATTAGTAGATTTATAGATTCGGATTGGCCTCTATATTATGCCCAGACTTGGTTAGAAACCTGTATTAATAAACATTCCAGATATTCTACGAAAATATCTGGCTAGTTACTAATATGCCTTCTCGATCTAAATGAATTAATGAATAGAATAATTCGCTTAGTCGAGACTAAGGGTAATAGAGTAATCGAGAACTATATAACCTTGAGTTACTATTAGGGAAAGGCAGATATATATAAACTTACTTCTGAAACTGCCTGTTACCTACTTGCGGGCTTGAAAATTTCTCTTTTACCAAAAATCTTTCAGAGAATAATCGAGGTTATTAGATTCTTAGATACGAAATATCTCTGGATAGATTTCTTATATATAATATAGAACTTAAAGGAAGATTAGGAGCGGGAATTAGCTTAGATAGGCAAAGTTTACTCTAATAGTCTTCTTAATATTACCGCTACTAGCTTAATAGACGGGGAAGGAGGACTCTTTACGGAACGACCTAGTAAATTGCCCCTCGAATTAACGGCTTGTTATACCTCCTTATCCTAGACAGATTATAGTAATAGTAATTTGCTTATTTACCGCAACTACCTTCTGTCTAGAATACTTCTAGACGGGCCTTTACTTTCTCGAGGTTAGGTTCTCCAGAAGCAAATAATAGTAAAGAGAATACTTTATTTCGGAAAAAAGTAGTTATATTAGAAATATAATAAGTATAATTACTGTGAGATTTATCCTATAGGTATTCCTAACTTTTAGATACGGCCAATAAATGGCAGATTTTTCAAAAAGAATATACTAGACCTATTTATAAAGTATTACTCTAACTTGGAAGTCGGAATAATAGATATAGTAAATACTAGTATTATGTAAACACCGTCTAATATAGTAGCAAGTTTGCATCCGAGTACTCTAAAAGGATATCCGTTAGTATTAATAGTATCCCTAACCTTAGTAGTTTTCTAAAGGCTAGTAATAGAATTCTGAAATACTAGTTCAAGTCATATAATAATTTTCTGGGAAAGTGTCCTAAGCTAAGGGCAAGGGCAAATTTTTATAAATGGAATCGAAAGCCAAATACAGGTAATAGATTTTTGGAACTATATTATTTCTATCTATTTACTATATGAGTTGACTTTTAAATAAGACAAGCTAGTTGCTTTAGCGGGTATTACCGAAATAATAAAAGTATAAATGGGATATAACTATTTGACTAGGATATAGTATACTAAGCTTGAACGAAACTTGTTATAGTCGGTTAGTAGTATATTCCAATAACCAAGAGAATATAAGGCACCTTTATAGTCTTGGGCAAGTATTAATAGTAGAATTAATATTCCTAGACGGGAATCCCGGATTAAGAATAAATTCGAGATTAAAATATTATATATAAGTATATAGAAGAAAATTACAGATAAGATAGGACAAGTAGTAGGCAGTGCGTTAATAGTTCGAGGACTATTAATAACGTGCTTTATATAAAAGACTAAGAACTTTAAGGACTTATTATATAAATATATTAAATACTATAACCCAGAGATTAATTCAGAGAATCCTCTAGTATGCTTTTTCATAATAAATAAAGTATAGTATAATGAGAGTCTATTAATAGATACTAATAAGCCTTTTAATATATTATTAAAGAAAGAGTTATATTATTTTCTAATTTTGTAAGAGGAGGAATTACATAATAACTCGTATAGTTATTTAGTTTTGGAACGAATAGAGAATCGAGGAGTATTTAAAAGATATGGAATATTACGTGTCTTCCCTATATGGCACGGTATTAAAGCTAATAAGAGCTAGGTAGCAGATAAGTTTTTGAATAATAGCAGAGAGGTTATCCTTAACGAGGAATAGTTCTATGGCAGAGAAGCTAATTCCGAGGGGAAATATACTATTATAATTATTTAGGACGAGTTCTGAGGTAAATGAAATTATTCTCTTAGAATCTGAGTAGGGGATTTGGGGGCCAAACTATAAGCCGGACGGCAAGACTAACCGAATTTGGTTAGCGTAAGGCGAAGAAGAATAGCCCCGCACCAAAATCCAATATTAGATCAAGTTAATTATTAGATTAAATCTATAATAATCTTTACTCGTAATTACTCGAGGGCCAGGACCCAGCTCGCATTAGTATTATATACTAGCTAACCCTTCTATCTCGTAGCTTTCTTTTACTAGTACCCGAACGGCCATTACTATAACAGATCTCTTGAGACAAAGAATTAAATATTAATATTAATATTACTATAACCTATCTTTATTACTACCTCGAAATACATATAAAAGGCAATAAAAAGAAGGAAATAGGGATTAGCTATAGGGTTCTTTAAACTTAGTCTAAAGTCTTACTAGTTTCTGGACTCTGGGTCCTAAAGTACTTTTTAAATCTTCTCTCGTATTATCCAGATTATAGTATCTCTTCCGAGATAGATTATAGCTATAATAAAAGAATTCCCCGTAATTAGCGAGATATTTTTAATTTGCTAGGAAGTCTTTATATTTCCCTAGCTTTACTATTATTATAGTATTATTTACGAAATAATAAATAACCTAATTATATAATTTCTTAAACTTCTTCTCTAGGTCTTCTATAAAAATATAATTAATACCTATCTAGCAGCCAGTTTTAGAACTTTTAAACTATATTTTATATTTTATATATCTTATAATATCTAATCCCGTTATAACTATTTTCTTATTAATCTATAAAAAACTAGTATTAATATATGCTTCCTACTATATAAGTTCCCTAAGATCCTGGCTACTTAAGGCAAAAGCCTTAGCTATTATAGCTTAAATCTTTTTCTACTTAGCCTCGAGTTTCTATTTTTCTTTCTCTAGCTATATTAGATAGTTTGTCTTAAATAGTTATGCCTTTAATAATCTTATATACTTATTATTATTATTAATATTAAGCTTTAGGCCTACTAATTCTATTTCTCTTTTCTTAATAAATTACTATATTATTTCTAGGTTCTTTTCCAAGCCTATTATTTAGCTCTTAAAGGCTTCTAGCCTCTTTTTAGTATTAGCCTTTACTATTTTTAGCTTCTTAATATATGAGCCTAAAAGTTATCTCAAGTTTTCCAGGTCCTATCTTGTTTTCTCTAATTTCTCTTATATATTACCTATAGCTTATAATACTATTCTTAAATTATTTAACTTTATTTCTAGGCTATAAATTCATTTTATTTCTTTTTATAAGATTTTAGTATTTATCTTAACTATTTTTAATTCTACTATAAGCTCTATAATAGCTGCTTTTCCTTACTAAAGTAGTGCTTTATTCTTTGCCTTAGCTATATCTAGTTCTTCTTTAAGAATACTTATAAGCTTTATATCTCTTTATATAATATTATATACTATTTTTAGGCTTTCTCCGAGGTTTCTAGTAATTACTTATTCTTATTATAATTACTTCTTTATTTCTATAAGCTTTTCCTTAAGCTATTTAATATGTTTCGCCTTTTACTATTAGTTCTTAGTAATTGCCCTTACTATATCTAGTTCTGCTTAAAGGTTATAGATAGCCTGACTTTCTTATTCTAGGACTCCTGCCTATCTATTTATAACTATAAGTATTTGCTTAAGATCCGGAGTTCCTATTTTGACTCTAGTACCTGTTTTATTTATAATAGTAAGCTGCTCGCCCAGAACTAGCTTCTATTATTCGAGAATCTTTATATAAGTATTTTTATTATATACTAGGCTATCCTGGCTATAGAGAATAATAAACTTAGTAATTAACTTTTTTAGGTTTTTAATCTTATTAAATTATGTCTTTACTAAAGGCAGATTTTTAAATTAAAGTTTATCTAAATAAATTGTCTTATAATTACTATTTTTATAGTTCGGCTCAAGCTAGAGTCGTCCTATAAAAGCTATACTTATCTTCTTTACTTTTTCTCTAGTTTCCTTAATCTTTATAAGTATTATATCTAAGGTCCTGTCCTTAATAATAGCTACTTCTTTGGAATTTCTTAGGTCTTTAGCCTACTATTAACTAACGAGTTCTAATTCGGTAATTCTTTCTTAGAAGCCTTGAGATATTACTCCGGTATTAATATCTTCTGGCCTTTATAAGTTATCTTTCTCTTATTAAGTAATTCTTGACTATAATACTTCTAATTCTATTATTACTTATTATAAATATATAGCAAGCTACTATTATAATAACTTTACTACTAATACTTACCTATTACTTTTAGACTTATATTCCGAGATCTCATATTCGAATTCTATAATTATTAAGTAATATTTCTCTAATTCATTTACTATTTCTTATTAATCTTAGTATTACTTTATAAATATAACTTATATTTTATAAGTAGATTTGTAATCTATAATTATTCTTTTAAGAGCCTCTATTATTTACTAATTCTAATAAAGCTTCTTAGCTAATTCTAACTATTATTATAATTCTTTCCGTATATAATTTCTCTCTATAGTCTCAAGTTTATTAATTCTCTTTTAATAATATTAAATTTATATAAGTTACCTTACTAAACTTTCTCGAGCCTCAAATAGCTTTATATTATTATATATATTTTTTCCTATTATATAGCTAATTATTTCTCGGTATTTTTTAGCTATAGTATAATTATAGCTTATATAGCCTTATATACTATATTCTGGGCTATATTCTAGATTATAGTTTGGGCTATACTATTCTAAAGTATATGAATATATTTGCGAGCTTAATTAAGGCTATTATTCTATTCTAGTATATACTAGATATACCTATTAATAGTCTCTAGGCCTATATTATACTAGAGTAATAGGTTAGTAAAAAGGGCTAGAATTTAAAAGAAGAATTATAAGATATTATACTTAATAAATAAGTTAATAATATACTTCTTACTAAGAGATATTTAGTAAATATTATAGAAGAAAAAGCAAGAATTATATTTCTTAAATATTCTTTTATATAATTACTCGTACTATTACTTTTTCTTTATATTTGAGATATTTATAGTCTATTATAATAATATACCTTAATATAGCTACTATTATATTACTTATATTTAGTAAAATAATTTGTAGTATAACTGGGTTTTAACTTAGAGATTATATTTATATCTATTTAGTAATCTAGCTTTTAAGAATATATCTTAAATATTTATATAGTCTGGGTTCTCCTTAAGTAGAAAATTAATTACCTTTAATTTAAACCCGAAAGCTTTAATAATTGCAGCAAATTCTCGCTATTATTCTGGATCTAGTCTAATACTAGAAATCTTATACTTACTATTAGTTTTCGGGACAAGATTCGTAATACGAAAGTAATTATATATTGAGAATATCTAAAGCTATATATATACTATCTAGAATTAGCCTTTTTCCTTTATAGAAATATTAGCTACCTTTATTTA